AGTGCAGCCATCCAGCCAGTTCTTTATCCAGCGAGTGGTCCATCTGTTGTAATAGAAAGAAGAGTTTTATTGATTAAAGTAGTAAAAGTAGTTAAAGTAGATATTCATTTAAACTGCAAAGTAGGTATTTACTTAGACTGTGAAGTTAAAATTGAAAACATATGTGCATGAGTGCTTAGAGAAGGTATGTACCAGGGAGTGCCGGAGGAGAGAGGAGCATCTGGGATGGTAAAAGAATGCTGATGGCATTCCGAGTACAAGAGGAGAAGCTGTACTCCTGGTACCGTGGTCTCGCACCAAACCTAGGATGTATGTGATAAGGAAAAGGTTAGGTAATAACTCTTCTTTTCTCACTTTTGCATGCCAAAAAATTAAGTGGAGATGGGCGTTATAGTAGATCAATACCTTGTATGGGATATTGTGGTAGTGGGGAACCAATCATGGTAAAGGGCAAATTAAAAAGCGGACATTTTATGCATACTTGTATAATCTTGTGAAATCGCTTTGTTAAAGATGTATAAATGAGCTGTGAAAATGTATGGGTTTTGGAGCACAATTAGAAGAGTGATCCTCTGTGCTCGCCAGCACTGCAAATAAAAAAGTGCCTGCTTATCTGCAACTGCATAGATAAGTTTTTCTCTTGTATTTGCGACCCCGTCAACACATCTATCAAATCTGTATTTCTCCAGTTTAGTGACCAGGATGTCATGTGGGACAGTGTTGAACACTTTGCACAAGTCCAGGTAGATGATGTCAGTTGCTCTTCCCTTATCCACTGAAGCTGTAACTCCATCATAAAAGGCCACCAAATTTTCCTGACATGATTTGCCCTTGGTAAAGCCGTGTTGGTTACCACCAATCAGCACATCATTTTTCATCTGACTTAGGAGAGCCTTCAGGAGAATCTGCTCCATGATCTTGCCAGGCACAGAGGTGACACTGGCCAATAATTCCCCACGTCTTCCTTTTTTTTCCTTTTTGTAAAAGAGGGTTATGTTTCCCCTTTTCCAGTCAGCAAGAACTTCACCAGACTACCAAGACCTTTCAAATATGATGGATATTGGATTGACAGCTTCATTCGCCAGTTGTCTCAGGACCCATGGATGGATCTCATTGTGTCTCATGGACTTGTGTACCTTCAGGTTCTTTAGATGATCTCAGACCTCATCTTCAATTACAGTCGATGGATCTTCCTTCTTCCAGTCCCTACATTTGCCTTCTGTAACTTGGGAGGTGTGGCTAAAGCCCTTGCCAGTGAAGACCAAGGCAAAGAAGTGGTTGAGCACTTCACCTTTCTCTGTATTGCTTATGACCAGGTCTCCAATTTCCTTCCAGAGGTGGTCCACATCCTCCCTAACCTTCCTTTTATCATGGATGTACCTGTAGAAATTATTCTTGTTCCCCTTTATGTCCCTGGCCAGATTTAATTCCTCTGTCAGTAGTTTGTTCATAGAAAGAATCACTAGTAGGTAACTGAGGAAAAGACACCTACAGAAAATGTTTCACAGAAGCTAAGCTAGGTTATTGTTTTGTTTCATGAACTGCAAGTGCTGCAGAGAAAGCCTCATAAATCTAGAATTAATCTTCATCAGTTTCCTTCTTGAGTACCCCAGTTAAGCAGAGGCAAAGTAAACACTGAAATCCCATGAGTAATTGCTTCTCTCTTATGCAATCTTACATGGAACTGCTTTTCAGTGACCATCTAAGAAGTAATCGCGTCAGTAACTCCCACCACTTGTGTTATATTTTTTCAACTAAATCATAGAGAAGAGTTGTCTTCCCTAATCAGTCCATGAATGGGACCACAAGCACTGCTGAAGCGGTGTGAGGGTAAGAGGAGAAGGAAGTTTTCCACCATTATTCTTCTTTAGAAATTTTTATAGGGTAATCACCTCCTTCCAAGGAGGAATTAATCCACTGACATTTCAGCATCTACAGCATACATATGAACGACAGTGAGCAACACATATAGGTTTCTGAGCCGCTTGTTGACATACACTTGTAGAGTCAAGGAATAGACACGGCTATGGAATGATCCATCTGATCTGTTTCAGACCTTTTCCTGTCAGAGAGCAGTATTAACTGGAAATGCTTGCATATATATATATTCCCCAGAAAGAAGACAACCTTAGTATATTGTATATTAGATAACTAAACTGATGGCTATATAAATTTCAGTGGGTGAATTCCAGCTTCTCAGTATAGTCTTCTGCTGTTAGGATAGCTCATGTATTTACTCCAGTGCAAGGGACAAAGAAATTGAAGCCTTGTATTTGACTTAGCAGAAGCACTATCACACTCTTGCAATTGCTTATTTAGGGATTTGACTGATGTGCGAGATGAACAACTCGAAATTTGAGGCACTCTGAAATCTCCCGTTTTACAGGCAGAACTAATACTGGCCATGTCAGGAATGCTTGTAGTACAGAGACAAATTTGTTAATAATCCATCTCGTGCTGACCAAAAAAAAGACAAAATTCTGCAGTTCATGTTCTTGTTTAGTGACACTTTTTTTTTTAGGGCTAAATGACAAAATTATGCTTCTGCTTCTCCTTAGACCTGTGGAATTTCTTATGACAGTAAAAGCTAACAGTAATATGATCACAAAGTTATATGAGTTTGCACGTTACAGATCTTCAGTCACAGTTTATATTACCACTTCTGAAGCTACAAAAGGTTTAAAATGAACAATATCTGGATTGGTGTTTCAGTGTCAATGGATTGTTTTATGAAAATGAATGTTCTTCCATCTCTGAAAACTTATGTACTTATATACTTATTACTTACTATAACAGTATATAATTCTGGTGAGGGGGGAAGTGGTAGTTTTTTCTTTGCTTTTAATATTAAATAAAATATTGCACTAATGGAACTTTAAAACAAGATGAAAAAGCATTTCTTCTTAGACTAGGGGATGGTAAGGTTAAAGGATAGAAATGTGCATTTTCTAGTTTGAAAGGGTTGGGGTTTTTTTCAGTTTTGAGTTGTAGAAATCGAAAATTATATGTGAAAACTAGCTCATGAAAATTTTTAAAAGAGGTGGATACATCGAGAAGTGGAAAAACGGGATGGAAGGGGAAGAGATGGAGAGAGAAATACATTCTTCCAAAACACGATTCATCTTCCCCGAGAGCTTTATTTAAAATAACACATACTGCTCTCTGGAAATACCTGTTTTGTTTGGTGAATATCTTGAGACTTTCTATACTGGGAAAATATAGTGGAGACCAAGCTGATCTTCACAGACAGGACAGGAATGTTCTGGCTTCACAGAAATAAACTCAGTTGCCTAATTCATGCAGATGCATCCTGGCTATCCAGTTCCCTCTGCAAGTTAAAAAGAACTGTGCCTCCAGCTGTCATATGGGCCTTAAACATCCACGGATTTCAGTAATAATCTAGGCCACTGCTTATGAACCAGATACCAAAATGTCTTATTGAATTTGTTCTTATATTTTCAAAATGGTATACAATGTGAATGTAATAATGTTCTTCCTTTTCTCCCTCATCAGGTTTTCCCTTTTTTATCATTATCATTCTTCCTTTCTTCTTTTCAACCTGTTATATTTTCTTTTCTTCGTTGGCAGTTCTCACTATTTCTTTAATTTTTAAAATATTACATATTTTTTTCTCTATTATTGTCTTTAATTTTTCTTTCAAGCTTGATGCTGTATCCTTTGCCATGAAGCCGAAAAACAGCACAAAGTTCCAGGAATTTATCCTCCTTGGATTTCCAACTATCATCGAACTTCAGATGTTGCTATCTGTGATATTCCTGGTGGCCTACATGCTGACCATATTGGAAAATATACTCATAATTATCTTGATAAAGATGAACCATCAACTTCACAAACCCATGTATTTCTTTCTCAGCAACCTTTCCTTCCTGGAGGTTTGTTACATCTCAGTCACTGTCCCCAGACTGCTAATGAGTTTTCTTGTTGAAAGCAAGAATATACCTTTTGGAGGCTGTGTGACCCAGCTTTACTTCTTCAGCTCCCTTATTTGTACTGAGTGTGTCCTCCTTGCAGTCACAGCTTATGATTGTTACGTGGCCATCTGCATTCCCCTGCGCTCTCCAGTCATCATGAGCCACCAACACTGCATGCAATTAACCGCATGCTCCTGGCTCATTGGCTTCTTGGCCTCCATGCTGAAAGTAGTTTTCATCTCTCAACTGTCTTTTTGTGGTTCCAATGTCACCAACCACTTCTTCTATGACAGCAGCCCTTTGCTGAACATATCATGTGCTGACGTGACAATGGCTGAAATAGTGGATTTCATCCCGGCCTTGTTTATCTTGCTGACTCCTCTCTCTGTCACAATTATCTCCTATATATGCATCATCAGCACGATCCTGCATATGCCCACGGTTCAGGGCAGGAAGAAAGCCTTCTCCACCTGTGTTTCTCACCTCACTGTAGTAATTATCTTCTTTTCAGCCACTCTATTCATGTATGCCTGGCCCAAGAGAATCCACAGTTTTGACTTAAACAAACTGGTGTCAATTGTGTACGCTGTTGTAACTCCTATGCTAAACCCCTTCATTTACTCTCTGAGGAACCAGGAAGTTAAAGGCGCTTTGAAAAAAATCTTTAGTGTTAGACAGAGTGCCCTCAAGGTCTCTCAATCCATTGCTGTCCACCTTTAATATAGCTCCTTATAAACAGAGTGTAAATGTGAGAGCTAGAAGGAGTTTTAAGATTTACATTGCCCTTGGTCAGAACCGCAACCATCATAATGCCGGTAACTCAAGAAACTGAGCCATACATATGGCCACTTATCCTCAACAAGAAATCACCTTTATACCTATTACCTTCAAATGATCTTTCTTTTCTGATGAAGGCTTATGCACAATGAAGTTACTGATTTGACTCACTGGCACTTCGGGGAACAAAAAGACATGTCTAGAATATCATACATCCATGGCTTTGAGAACACAATTGAAATGTTCTGTTAACAGCATGTGATCCAATTCCAGGCAAAATCTGACAGCTAAGTTGAGAGGTATGTGCCTAACTATATACCTAGCTGTATACTTTGGGTATTCTGCCCGATCTACGAAAGTGATGATGACAGTAAGACTCTCTTCTACAGTTCCTGTACTGTACCTGCCCCAAAAGGGCAGGTCTCTGGCACTCCACAGTATTTCATATTCTACAAGAAGACTGTCCTTGGGAACTTGAATCAGTCCTGAGAGTGAATAACAGCAGAAGGAAAGAAAGTGTTCACAGTGCAATGGGAGAAGCCCAACTTCTAAAGTAAGATTGAAATAAACACTCCAGATTAATTGAAGACTTTAAATCCTGGTCACTGTAAATAAAATAACTCTTTTATTTCCATTTTCCAAGACAGCAGCTTCTGTTCTTACAAATTCTGCTGAAATCACTGTGTATGAGTTTGAATATTAATGAACATACAGTTGTTTGGGAACTTTCTGTGTATTGTGAGTTAGTGGCTGCGTCTCTTCTGCCTTTCTCAACATCTGCACTACTAAATTAGTTTAGTCTATGAACTGCTCTGTGGCCATTTTGCTCAACATGTCACAGTGTCAGACACAGATAAATGCTTATGGCTAGGTTTCTTTTGACCAGGCTGGCCATGCCAATGAGCAATCCCTTGATCATGACCTACTCCAAAGGCTTTGCATCTGTTCACACTGGCCTTACAGTGAGCTTGTGTCATATCTACCAGTGCTATAAAGTGCCCTGGATACGCTGAGGTGCTCAAATAATAATAGGCATCTCTCCTGGACAGTGAATAGGTATCTAAACAATATTAAAAGTGCTTATTGGGATGGCTGGTTAAGGGATTGGGAGGACAAGTAGTGTTCTCCTCCATCCCACCACTTGCAGGGAATTCTGAGGTGATAAACAGGATGAACAAACAGATCAATGCCTGGCTCTGAGACTGGTGCCACAGGCAGGACTTTGGGTTTTTCAATCACAGATTAATTTAGAGTTCACCAGGTATGGTGGCAACTGATGGGGTATATCTATCTCAAAGTGGGAAAAGAATCCTGGGACAAGAGTTAGCAGGGCTCACAAAAAGAGCTTTAAACTGGTTTTGAAGGCCCCGTGCTGCGTTACTGGAAAAAGCACATCTGCCCTTGACGGCACCATCCCTGCAGCTTGGGGCCACTAAATGGGCTACCACCTAAGGTAGCCTTCAAGCCCAAATCCCCACTGCCTTAAACTGGAGCCCAGTGGCAGCCCAGTGGGACCTGTGCTGGGTTGAGATGGGGATTTGCCGTGAGGGGACTCACCCCGTGCGCACAGACCACTGATCTGGGACGTGAAGCCCCTCCAAGGGGCTTTGGGTGAGGAAACCAGCATCTGGCCTGCAGCAGGTTGGCAGGAGCGAGGGCATCTCCTACATTGGATGCCACCTCGTTAACCTGAACGAATGCAACACCGTCCTCCAAGAGGGAGCTGGGTTTTTGGCCAAGCCCCGGTGTACCTGCGCAGATGAAGCTTTGTGAGTCCAGGCCCTTCTCCACCGGGACGGCCACCAGGTATTGCAGCAGGAAGCCATTTTCCTTCACAATGTTCTTCAGGACCACCTGGGAGTGCCCGTCCAAGCTGCCCCCCAGTGTCAGCGCCTCCTCTGCGCTCTCCAGGTAGGACATGAGCAGCGCTCACACCAGCTCCCACCACGAGGCCGCCTCTTGGGCGCTCTCCGCCTGCAGCTTCAGGACGGCTTTGGAGGTGATCACCTTGAAGAAGGCTGGTCCCCCCAGGCTGGTGTCTGGGAGGATGTCCTGGATGGTCTCTGTTGCTTAAAATTTTATCCTTGTTTCGGATTTTAAAGCACTTTAAAGTTTCTAAGGAGAGGGAAAAAACGAAGGGGACCCAGGTTTTGTCTACGTCCACGTACAGAACGGCCCCTTTTATTGCATCCAGCTCAGGTTCGTGAGTTAGAGTCCAGTCAAAGCTGTTTGTGGGCACATTGCTGTACTGGAGGAGAGCAGCGGAGTCGCCGTGGACGGGCTGCCCTTCGCCACCATCTTCTGGATACTCCAGAGTCTCCCACTCCTCCTTCTCCAGCTGGGGCTGGCACTTGCGCAGCGCCTCACGGATCCTGTCCAGCCAGTCCTCAGCCTCGTCGCGAGAAGGAGCTCGGAGGTAGAGCTTCCTCCCCAGGCAAACCAGCTTGAAGCAGCTGTCCGAGTGCGTCAGCACCAGTGACTCGCAGCGCAGCAGGGAATGGTTCTCGATGCAGATGTGGTCCTCATGGTCCAGGAAGAGCCACAGCTCCAGTGGCGACAGCTCGCAGGAAAACTCCTTCCATGTCCCCATGGCTCCTCTCCGCTCCAGGCTGCCCAGCCTCAGGAGCCCTCGGAAGGCATTGGAAAGACCTGGGGCAGAAGCAGAGGTATTGGTTTCCAAAAAAGTAGAGAAAGCAAAGCCAACAGATGGCTCAGAGCGAGCAACCAGAAGCATCGCAGCTTTGAGCCTGTCCTGGTGGAGCATGGGATGGGGCAGGAATTTACAGGACCTTGGTTTCTACCAACATTTGTGTCTGGAGGCTGAGAATGAGTGGGACAGCATAAAGGAAACATGTCCCGCAGAGCAGAGACATGGGGACTCAGACACCCACGTAACTCCTCTCCTCCTAAAAGATGTCCCTCCAGAGCTATCGTGGGTTCAGCTTTTTTTCTGTCCCACTGCTTCCTGGAGCTTTGAGTGCTGCCAGCAGCTCCGCAATGGCAAACTATGCTTCCCAAACTGCCCCCCGCCCAAAACTGCCCCCTTAGCCCCTCAACACCACCCAGCACAGAGAGAGGAGGGCAGCACATACCCATCTGCCTGCAGTGCACAACGCTGAAGCCTTTTTGTTCCCGCTCGGGCGAGGTTTTGGGCTTCTCGCTCTGGTAGGATGGCACTGAAAGCTGCTCCAGATTGAGAGAGCTGATCAGCCCTGGGGTCGGGCCCTCGCCAGCCCCCTCCAGCCCAAAGCCGTTGATTTTGGCTATGCTCTTGCTCCTGTCTCCCAGAGAAGGTCTGTAGAAATCATCTTCTGAGATCCAGCTCGCTCTTTTCTGTTAAAAAGAATAACAAATATATGTATTATTGAATATGTTGAGCACCCTGTGCCCCTCAAACACACCCAGCGACCCCTCTGTGTCCACAGGGGCTACTCCCATGCAGAGCGGATCCCACGCAGTGATGCTCCATTCCCATGTGGATGGCTCCCCTGCTCCCTCCCATCAGGGAACGTTCCATGGGACTGTGTTGGCAGTCAGCAAATACTGGTATTATACAATGGTGGGATTACAAAGTCCAAAATTGGTCAGTTCTCTGCCTCTAAAATCACTGAGGGGCTTGGAGAGCACCTTCCCTGTAAGATATTTGGTCTGTGAAGTGTTTCTGATAGAGGCTGAGAAGCCAGCGCTGCCATGAAAGTGTATGTGCTTGCTTGGAGCAGTGAATACATCCTTGTTCCAGGAAGGATATGGATGAAGAGAGGTACAGAGATGATGTCTAGCACGAAAGGGGAAGCAGAGACCTGCATCTTGCAAGCGGATGCTAGAAACACCAGGCCTGACCAGTGCAGAGGAAGGAAAGCTTTGTCTCTGGATACCAGGAGGAGATGAGACCCACAAGCAGAAGAAAGCTCATTAAACTGAAGGAAAACACAGCTGTTGACTTCTCTGGGTGTTTTTCCAGCTACAAGAACAGAGCGAGGTTTTGGGACAAGGTTCCCCAAACAAACACCAGGAGCTCAGTGCTGCGGCAAAAGGAAGCAGCTTCCTTACACTCAACGCATCCCTTCCAGGGCTGCATTGCACCAGGAATGGCCTCTCCACCACTCTGCCCTGCCTTCTGACAGCTTTTCATCCTGAGTAATGAACCAAATGACAGCAGAAGGTCCATCATCACCCCAAAGCGAGGAACACAAGTGGTTTGTGGTGCAGCTCCCAACGAGCAGACGGGCTCGGCTGACTCCGGGAGCAGGAACACAGGTTGCTCCGTGAGTCATGCGAAAGCAAGGGGAGAATTTCCTGTTGACGGCCGTATGTTATACATAAATTAGGTCGAACTGGCCCAAAGCCCCAAGGAAGCAGCGGAAATGAGAGAACTGGGAGCTGAAAGGGGCAGGGAACAAACAGAGAAACCGTTGAGGGGGTATGAGGTGTATCCTAACCTCATCAGCATGGAAATGATGGGAACCAGGATGGAAACGATGAGAACCAGGATGGAAATGACAGGAGCCAGGACAGAAAAGTCAGCAACAAATCAGGCAGAGGACAGGGCTGTTGAAAGAGTCTCCTAAAAGCAAAAGCAAGTGGATCATCTTGTCAGCAGCAGGGGAAATCCGCCGCTGTTTAAGCTGGCCTAAGCACCAAGGAATGCCATCCTGCTCTGGGAACAGATGTGCTGTGTGAATATTTTCCCACTGGAAATCCCACAGAAAGTAATCTGCTTTCCATCTAGTCAACCATTTTCCCTCCTCTTACATGGACCATAAACAGAGAAAAGTCCCCATGAGCAGCTCGACTCTCAGGTTGTTTTATCAGCTTGCATGCAGCCGATGGCCTGATTTGTGATTTATGCCCTCAGAGCTGCAGTTGACCCCACTGAGGCATGGACCCTGCATGCAAAGGCTCCATTTCCTACCTACGCTCATTAATGGGGTTTAATTT